GAGTTTGTAGTGGAAGCAACATGCCCTTCATAATTTAAAGACAAATGGTGTATGAAAAGCTTCAAAGGCAAGAATATTATATCAGGGGACTGTTGGAAAGCTTTTATGCCAATCAGTTCTATGGGCTATGGACTCCCACAGCAAATAGCTAAATGAGTGTTACAAGCAAGGACACTTTGACTGATGTAACCATTTTACTTTCATTTGGTGTTTATGAAACTGTGTCATAAAAAAACACGTCTTTCTGGACTGGAGACACACTTACTCCCACTTTATCCCAGCCCATTACTGTACCTCAAACCACTGCCCGTGCGACTGCATCTTCAGCACCACGCAAGGGTCTGGTTTGGAGAGAGCGTCGCGGTCCGAGATCCCCCGGCAGGCCACTCTCAGCTCCACTTTGGCCAGGCATGGGGAGCTGATGAAGCCCAGCGTGGCCTCTGCAGACTCATAGATGTTACTCATGCTGAACACACAATCACACACTGAAAGGAACGAGAGAGAGAAAGAGAGGGAAAAAAGACAAAGAGAGGGAAAAAGACAGGGTTACTTTCTTAAAGATAGATTGACAGACAGACAGACAGACAGACAGATAGATGAACTGTTGTTTGCTTTCACATGAGCAGATGCAGTGGCCCTGACTAAGCAGAAAGCACTCAAACTGTTCAAGGTCAGGACTCTGGAGCTACTGAATATCAGACAAGGTCCCCAAATACACACCAATGCACACATACCCTACAGGATGAACACCATTAACACGATTAAGCATATGCATGTTAATGCAAAATCGCATTCAGATGTATGTACACATTCTGTATACACATGCACACACACACACACACACGCACACATGCACACACAAGCTCTGCCGAGTAACCAGAACAAATTGGCAGGGTTTCTTCTCAAGTTTCCACACAGTGTATAATGTTCACAGTCCCCAAATAGAATACTGTCAGCATCTAATCGCCCCGACAGACGTTTTTCCCCGTGATAATAGGAAATGAATAGTTAATCATGAAATGAGTTCAAATCACATTTTACAGTAAAAGCTGCAAAGACAGTGACCCCCATAATCACAATGAGGGCTGAAAATATCTGCTGCTTTTTATTTGTTCAAGCTGAGAGCTGCCGTCGGCCGATTCCAACACAAAATCCAGATACTCCTTCTTCCAGGTGTTAAACTATACAACACTTGTTAAAGGAGTTTTTGTATACAGCAGTGACGGTCAATAGGACACACGCATGTCAATAAAGTTTCATGTGTTACAAGGGACAACGCTCTTGATCTGAAAGGCCCTGCACATCCATCAACCACCCACACAGGTGATTTCAATTATTCTGCTGAATTAGACCTGTGTGGGCATGTGCGGACTCAGCTTGATTGACATCTCCCTCCCTCTCCTTTTAGTTTTGTTGCACCTGATCAAGTGAAGCGAACACCTTTATAGTTCTTAATAATACATGGACTCTTGTGACTTGATGTAATACCCAGCATAATTCCACTCACCTGCAACCTGACCAGAGATATTAAGAAGTACTGAAAACACCAGTGTGGGTGTGCAGGACCTTCAAACAGCTTCCCTAGCTTTATCTAAAGTCTAAAGTGTTGTTTTTTTAACATTAATTTACACTTTATAACTCATCATTCATCTTTTGTGTAAAAACGTTTGAGTGAGCTTTAGGTTGATTGTGTTACCTTTAGAAAAAGCCAGGCTATCTGTTTCCCTGTTTTCAGTCTTCATGCTTAGCTGAGCTACGCATCTCCTGACTGTAGCTTCATATTTAATGGAAAGATATGACACTGGTATCAATCTGTACAGTACAGAACACTTTGTACGGGACAGTAGATAGTACACCTAAAAATGCATCAAATCAATAACACTTTAATGACCTTCCAACATTGTGCTCTTTACTCAAAAGCCTGCCCAGTCTGCAGCATGGTCCAGTTGACACCACCTATAAATCTATTACTATTACATTAGAAACACATTATACATTGCCTATATAATTAATCTCAAAATGCATGGCTCCATTTTCCCAGCCCCGTAATGTACATGGAGAACTGGGCTGAAACATTGGGTAGCCTCAAGTCCACTTAGTCCAAATTAAAGGATAACCGCAGGTCGGATGTGCTAGATGGTACAAACTGAATATTAATGCAGTAGTATCTAGTAGTATCATCCTTAGGGAGCAAAGCTCTTGGAACTGGGTCTGACTCTGACCTGAATGTCTCTCTCTCTCTCTCTCTTGTGCTCTCTGTCTTCCATAATTCATGCTCCATGTGTGTCTTGGCTGCGGTGATTATTTTTAGCTAAGCTCACTGAGTGGCCGACAGACAAACAAGCGTGCAGAGCCACAGGACAGGTGTGTGGCATACAGCAGATACCTGTGTGTAGGTGACAAGCAGCTAGATTGTTGTCTGCATGTGCCTCGATGCATGGCGGTGACATGTCTGTGTGTGTGTGTGTGTGTGTGTGTGTGTGTGTGTGTGTGTGTGTGT